CAATTACTTTTTGACGCATTCCCTCCTAATGGAGGGTGTTAAGGTTGGCTTTCTGCACAACTGTCAGGTCAGCAGTCTTCCCCATGATTGTGATTCCTACTGAACCAGACTGAGAAACCATTTAAAGGCTCAGAAACCCTTTGCAGGTGTTATGGCTTACTTAGCTGACACTGTGAGCCTAGAATATTGCACCTTTTCACAAAATTCTAATTTACTGAGATTGTGGATTTGGGGTTTTCATGAGCTGTAAGCCATAATCATCGCACTTATGACAAATCACGGCTTTAACTATCTTGCTTTGCATGTAATGCGTCTATCTCATATATTAGTTTCCCCTTTTACGTTGCAATACTGAAATAAATGAACTTTTGCAAGATATTCTAATTTTTTGAGTATCACTTTTACAATACGTCAAAACATTATATATATATATATATATATATATATATATATATATATATATAGACTACATGTGGCAAACCTAGCCACTTGGACATTATTTAAGTACTGTCGCTTTAAGGGTTGCCTGTATGTTTTTCGGGTTATGTGTGTTCCAGCGTATAATGTAATGCAATTGTATAACTGTATCCCCTGCATTGGCTATCTGCCAAAAGCAGATAGCTGATTTCCTTTCGTTTCACGAACGGCACCTTTGCGGGCCGTTCGTGAACCGAATGAACCATCATTTAATAGCCCACACACTTAGAGACGTGTGGCGCCTATTAACCGATTGCAACAATGTTGAAATCGGTAATTAGAGGCTCTCCAAGGTGGCCGTCGTTTGACTACCGACCATGCGGCGGTCGGCCATCTTGGATCCTTTGTTCCCTCAGCGGTGTTTGGTCGTCGAGAGCATGGTACTAAAAACGGCTACTCGACGGCACGAACACCGCTGAGCTTCCAGGCCGTTCGGGAGGTCTGGGCCGTTCGGTATCCTGTTCCCTTACATGCAATCGGTCTTTTGAAGATATGTTTTAATGAATGTGTTTTTCGTGCGGCGTTCGGTTGTTTTAGCTGGGATCTGAGCGGTAATCTCACGAATGATGCGCTCAGACCCCAGCTATCTACCGAACGTCCATTCGTTTAAATAGACCGTATATTCAAAGAGTTATACATTTTAATATAAATTGTAGGTTCTGCTGCACGGAGGGATAATCCACTTAACGATACATTCCTGTGGGAGGATCCCTCTCGTGCAGCAGTGCCTGATGGGAGAAATGTCTTGTACAATAAGTCCCCCATGTAGTCCCCTCTGGGAATGCCCCTGGGAGGGGACTCAGGAAACCCCCTGCATGGGGACTTGTATAAATTGTGGAGCTGAAATAAAGACCTCAGTTGACTCCCAGCCTATGTGTCGTCTAGTTCTTGGGAAGGAAGGGTTACTACAGTGCTACTTGGATTACTGCATGCTGATTCCCCTGGATTATCCTTTGTTGTTCCTGTTACCCAGCGGAGATATCGTGGATTATACTACCTCTCCGCTACACTACAGTACCCCTCACACTGCACCACTACACACATTACACTCCAGATACACGCTAGATCCCTTACCCTATATACACTCTGAATCCTCTACACACACACACACACACACACACACACACACACAATCTCCTATACACACTCTGGGTCCTTTACACACTAGATCCCCTACACACACACTGCACCACCTACACATACTACATTCCTTTTTTTTTTTATTCTTTATTTATAACAAGATCAGACACCACAGTAAAATATGCAACATGATGCAAAAATGAACAATATCACAGTCAAAAGTCAGCATTAGTTAAGAGCAATCATTTTTACGTGACCTTACAACCAATCAAATACATTGTAGCTAACATATGCTTGTTGTCTATGAGAGTCTGGTTACTGCGGCATCCCACCTATTTTAAATTAAGTAATACAAAAACTCCTGACTGACTATGAAACGCATGGTAGTATTTTGCGTTACCTATCAACAGTGACCACTAGAATGCATTAAAATTTTAGCTAAAACCTAGTGTACAAGGTTGCCATTTGTGTAATACCATTTTACTATCGATCAACCTGTAGTCGCCCCTCAAGCCGCCCCAACCAATAAGGATCCAGTTGGCTAGATGGTCACTGAACAGCAGTCAGTCAGATTTAAAAAAAAGAGTTTAAATAAGGTAGAAAAAGTATAGTTTAACCGGAAGGTAAGTACTATGAGAGTAAAAGAAAAGAAGAGAGAGGGAGTGGGAATGGGAGGGGGTATTATAGTGATATTCCGAAAATGGTGATGATGCCGACCCAACCAGGCAGCCGGGTAGCCACGAGCCGGTAAGTTTAAGCGAGGATCGCCGTGCCCGTGGGGAAAACTATAGCCTGTGGACTTCTCGGTGGGATCCCAAGGGTCCCGCTATAGAAGGAAGATGAGAGTTTGCTATCAATCTCGGTGTCTGTAGAGGCGCGTCAGGGTACGCGGGGGACGGGCCCGTCCCCCCCTCCCCTAATCGCCCACCCCGCTATCTATCCACGGGCCCCAAATCTTTTCCATTTTCTTCATAGTGCCCCAAACCCGAGCAGATAACTCGTCCATGATGTATGTGTCCTTAATCTTTTGTATCACCACATCAAGAGGAGGAGTCTCTCCCTGTAGCCACACTTGGGCCAGGGCCCTCCTGGCAGCCAGGGTTACCTTATGTACTAAATTTTGTTCCGGTCTGGACCAGTTCTCCATAGACCTGGCCAGAAGGAACACCCAAGGGTCTGGCTTGACCACCCTACCGAAGATATTCCCCAGTAATTCCGCGACCCGTTTCCAGAATTTTTGTGCCTCTGGACAGACCCACCACATGTGCATATACGTCCCTTTCTGGCCGCATCCTCTCCAGCATAAATCCGTAGACATTTTATTCATCCTACAAAGCTTTGCCGGAGTAGCGTACCACCTGAACATAGTCTTGTAGGCTTGTTCCTGAAATGTGACACAAATAGAGGAGGTCGCAGCGGCCTCCCAGATCTCCTGCCATTCGACGCCTTCCAGTTCCTCATTCAAGTCCATTTCCCATTGGGTCGTGTAGTGAAGTTCCCCCCATTCCGATGTGGTCGTACTTAGGTGTGCATATAGATTGGTGATGAGGCCTTTCGGGAATTGTTCTTGGATGCACATTCTTTCAAAAAACGTAAGTGGGGTTAAGGCGCTTGTTTTAATCTGCGGGTTTTGGGCAAAGTCCCTTAACTGGAGTTAACGAAAAAAATCAGAGGGGCATAGAGTAGCTCTGGACTTCAATTCTTTGAAAGATATAAGTGAGCCACCCTCATATGGGTGATATAGTTGTTGTACCCCCCTGCTCTCTATGCCCCTAAAGTGTCTAGCTTCCAATCCCGGGGTGAAGGCTCTATTCCTCAAGTAAGGGGCCAACGGGGACAGGTGGGGAGATAAACCATATTTGGTTGATGTTGCGTCCCAGATTTTCAATGAATTTGCAATGGTTGGGCATTCAATGCGTATAGATGGTCTGTGGTCCCTAGGGACCCACATAAAGAATTGAGGGACATCAGGTCCCATGAGGGTAGCCTCTAGGTCGACCCACCGCCTCTCTTCCGGAGGAGAATTCCAAAGTGCTATTTGAGTTAGCTGGGACGCTAAATAGTAGAAATAAAGGTTTGGTAGACCCAAGCCGCCCCTCGTCTTTGCCCCTGTAAAGAACGTTACGCGAAACTCTATGTTTCCTGTTTTGCCAGATAAATTTTCCAACGGCCTGCTGGAGTGCCCCCAGATCAGACTTGGTCAGTCTGACCGGGAGAGCCTGGAATAGAAACAAAATCCTGGGAAGAATGTTCATTTTCACCGAGTGGATCCTACCTATCCAAGAGATCGGTTTATCTATCCATTTCTCCATGTCTCCTATCAAGGTTCGGATCATGGGAACATAATTTTGCTGACATAATTGGGCAGGATCCACCGTCAGCCAAACCCCCAAGTACTTTATACGGTCGTTTGCTATGTGAATCCTTTAGGTGTCACCTATGTGGGCTATGTCCGTGTCAATCATGCTTATGGGAAGTGCGCTCGATTTAGTTAGGTTCACCTTATATCTGGCCAGTTCGCTGTAGGCCTCCAACACTGTCGCCAGTGCCTCCATAGATTTTATCGGATCTGTAAGGGTCAGCAAAATGTCGTCAGCAAAACCAGACACCACATATCGCTGATCCCGGATCGCGACCCCTTTTATTTCTGGGCTATTTCTAATGGTTTGTAAAAGAGGCTCCAAAGAGAGGGCGAACAACAGAGGCGACAGCGGGCAGCCCTGCCTGGTCCCATTCCCCAAACTGAAAGGCTCCATCTTTGCTCCCGAAATCCGGACCCGAGCCCTAACGTCCGTGTACATTGCTTTTATCGTAGTTATAAAGGGGTCCGGGATACCAAAATGTCGGAGGGTCTCGAATAGATAAGGCCACTTTACCCTATCAAAGGCTTTCTCTGCGTCGAGTGACAATATCAAAGTCGGGATCCCCCTAGTTGCTTGACGCCATATAAGGTCGATGTTGTGTCTAGTATTCTCAAACAATTGCCTACCTGGCACGAAGCCTACTTGGTCAGGGTGTATCAGTCGTGTTAACAAGGGATTCAGTCTGCGTGCTAGGATTTTAGCCAGGATTTTGGAATCATGGTTTATTAAAGAGATCGGGCGAAAGTTTTCCGGAATCAAGTCGTCCTTGCCGGGTTTCGGTAACAGCACAATGTCCGCTAATGACATGTCCCTATCTGGCGTTCCTCCCTCCATAAGATCATTGAACCACTTTTCCAAATGGGGTATGAGTTCCTCACGAAATATCTTATAATAGCTGCCATCGAAGCCGTCCGGGCCCGGAGTTTTGTTACCTTTTAAAGCGGATATTGCAGCATCAATCTCCTCGGCTGTAATCCTCTCCCCGAGGGCAGCCGAGTCCTCTCCCCGCAACGTAGGTAGCTTCAATTGTGATATAAAGGACCGCGTACTCCTGTCGCTCCCCTGATTGCTCGCGGCCCCGCTGGAATGATTATACAATTTGGCATTGTAATCCGTAAAAACCTTAGCTATATCGGTAGGATCTGTGCAATACTTACCCGGAGCATCCTTGATTCTTGTAATATGGGAGGAAGAGATCTGGCCAACAAGGTATCCATTTTGTTTGATTTTTCATAGTAAGTCCTCTTGGACCATACTATAGCTCTGGCAGTCTCGTCTAGGAGCGTTTCGCGGACTGAAGCCCGCAATTTCTGTACTTCCTTCAATGTGGTAGGCGATGAGGCCGCTTTATATTTTTCTTCCGCTTTCCCCAGAGCTTCCAGGAGAGATGCTAATAATTGCGTTTTACGGGTTTTTTTTTAGCGTGGCTTCGCGGATCAGTATACCCCGGATAACCGTCTTATGGGCGGCCCACACTGTAGCAGGCCGGGGACCCGACTCCGCATTCCTAGTGTAGTACTCATTCAATTCCTTGCGCGTGGTCTCCACTACGGCTGGGTCTTGAAGCAGAGAGGTATTTAGTTTCCAGGTCCACGGAGATGCCATACACAGTTTATCCAAAGTCATCGTAATCTCAGCGTGGTCCGACCAAGTAATCGAACCTACCGCAGTATTCGACACCTTGGGGACCGTGTGGGGGTTCACCAAAAATAAGTCTATCCTTGAATAAGTATCGTGGGGTGCCGAATAAAAAGTGTAGTCACGGTCGTCTGGGTGATGTGCTCTCCAGATGTCGACCAGGCCTGCACGATGCATAAAAGTGCGTAGTATTTTATCCTGACCACCTCTTCCGTGGGACTGCGGCAGCCTGTCGCTAGGACCCCGCCGGACATGGGGAGGCGTTCAGGTCTCCCCCCACTACCGTCATGCCATGTGGCAGTGTGTTCACTATTTATGCTATTCCATCCCAAAAATCAACAGAGGGGTCGTTTGGTGCATAGATGTTGAGGAGGTGCACTGAGTGGGAATATAAGCTCCCTGATACCAGAATGAAACGGCCACCCGGGTCCGCTACCACTTTTCCCACCCTAAGCAGGCATCTGTGGTGTATAACCACAGCAACTCCTTTCCTTTTGTTTGAGGCCCTAGCCTCATGGACTGTCCTAAATGTGTGATCCCTCAGGGCGAATTTAGCCGACGCGGAGATGTGTGTCTCCTGCAGGAAGGCAATATCTGGGTTCATGCGTTTAAGTTCCCTGAACATAAGGCGACGTTTACTCGGAGCGTTCAAGCCCTTAACGTTCAATGACGTAAGGGAGGAGAAAATAAGGAGAGAGGCCAAAAAAGAAAAAGGGAGGATGAGAAATCCCATCTCCACCCGCCCAAACAACAGAAGCCCACCCGGAGAACAACACCAACCGGAACCGCGGGGATCTGACCTGCAAACCCGGAGCAGGGGCCAATCTCCTCACACACCTGCCTCGGATCAGTTGCGTGGAAGGGACCCCAGGACCTCCGCCGATGCCATCGGAACCGCCAGTCCTTCAGGAATCTGGATCCCCAGCTCCCGCAGGAACGTCGCCGGGTCGCCGTCGGGATACAAAATCCTAGTCCGGCAATCTTTAAAGGCCATCAGATGGAAAGGGTGACCCCAGGCATATTTGATCGAGTGGTGCTGCAATACCTCGGTTATGGGGTGCCACTCGCGCCTTTTCTGCAGTGTGGCCGGGGGGTTAGTTCCTGATACAGAGCCAGCTCAGCCCCCTTATAGGTGATCGGGCTATTCCTGCCCCGTTTCATCAGGGCTTTCTTCGTTTGAAAGGAAAGGAATTTTATAATTACATCTCTCGGTCGCCTATCATCTGTCTGCTTAGCCCGGAGAGCCCGATGTGCCCGCTCAATATGCCAAACATGATCCGGCATGTTGGGGAGAAGCGGCCTAAGGATGCCCGAGACGACATCGATAAGAGACCCTTCCCCCTTCTGTTCCGGCAGGCCTCGGAGGCGAATATTGTTTCGCCACAATCTATTTCCGAGATCTTCAATTGCCAATTCAGCTGAAGTCAGTCGGATTGTTCAGGAGGTTAATCTGTGCGGCAGCAGAGTTGTGGGCCACAACCGTGGACTCCACCCGCTGTTCTAGTGCTGCCGTCCTCGTGCCCACGGCCTTAATCTCCGCCTTCCCCTCTGTGCTTCTGACAATTTCAGTGGCAAGGTAAGAACGGACCTCCGCTAATTTGGCCAGTATCTGACCGGTATCCGTGTCAGGAGTACCTGTGGCCACACTGCTGTCCGGGCTTGACGGTGAGCGCGCTGTCCCCTGGCCTTCCCATCTGCCAATTTGGGTGCTTAGTCACACAGCGCGGGAGGCCGCGAACAGCTCCGACACGGTAGTACCCGTTTCCATCACCTTTTTCCCCTGTTTCCTCTGGGCCCTCTTATCCATCATGGGTCCCCCACAGTTGCAGGCAGTTTTTGAGGTTGTTTTCTCGACTTTTGTTAGAAGTTGGCACCGTGGCTGCAGCAGAGCTCTACATGGACACGTCCATCTTGCTCGGCCGCAAACCATGCCCCCCCACATACTACATTCCTGACATACAAACTCTGGATCCCTTATGCACACACTACATTCCTTGTAAGCAAAGACACACAACATTCTCTAAACACACACTCTCTACAACCCCTACACACACTACGTTACCTATATACACACACACACTACAGCCCATATGCACACACTCGCTACATTCCCTATACACACTATGCCCCCTATACACACACTCTCTACAGCCCTTAGCCACACATATTACACCACAAACACAAATGAAATCAACCTATTTACACAATACCACACCACAATCAGCTCACTCTACACACACGTAATCCCACAAGTAGGCTCCAAACACATGCACAATACGCTTTCCTGGCCCTTTTGTCCTCTGGTATCCCACTTATGGAGACACCAGAGACAAGTTAAAAGCAAACACAGCGCAAGCATGTTATTACATTTGCTTGCGCTGCGCAGAACAAATACAGGGCCTTTTTCTCATGCTAGAGCTCTTCAGCGAGGCTCTGCGCATTGAACCAACATGCTGTCTTTGAGACGGGCGTGCTTGTCATTAGTGATGACAAAACACACCCTATATGGCCCCGCCCCCTTCTTAGGGGGCCACTGTAATTGAAAAATGCCCGGGCCTAATTTTTTCCCCAGTCCGGCCCTGCTTAAGGGGTTAACTTCTTGTTATGTATTTTTATTTTTTTTTATAGATCCATTGAACAAGGTTGTTAACTATGTTGGAGCTATATAAATATTAATAACAATATTAATTTAAAGATTTAGAAAAGGTTACAGAACAGGGTGCATCTGCTTCAATCTTCAGTAAACGAATGTCCATAAATCTTGTGCTCATATTTCAGGACCCCATCCTGCATTTTCACCTGAAGGTGTTATCTCTTCTTCTTGTCCCTCCCAGGTGTCTGGCAGTGTGTGTTAGGCTGAGAGAAAATGACTTTGTACTGAAAGAGAGAGAGACTGAGGAAGAGAGAGAGATAGAGGGAGAGATAGAGTCAGAACGAGAAAGAGAGAGAGTGGGATAGTGAAAGGGAGAAAGAGAGAGAGGGGGTAGTGAGAAGGAGAAATAGGGAGGGGGGATAGTGAGAGGGTGAAGGAGAAAGTGTTAGGGAGAAAGAGAGAGAAGGATAGTGAGAAGGAAAAATAGAGAGAGGGGAGAGTGAGAAAGAGAATAAGAAACTGTTAGGGAGAAAGAGAGAGGGGATAGTGAGAGGGAGAAATAGAGAGGGGGATAGTGAGAAGGAGAAAGAGAGAGAGGGGGATAGTGAGAAGGTGAAAGAGAGAGAGGGGGATAGTGAGAAGGAGAAATAGAGAGGGGGATAGTGAGAAGGAAAAAGAGAGAGGGGGATAGAGAGAAGGAGGAATAGAGAGAGGGGGATAGTGAGAGGGAGAAAGAGAATAAGAAAGTGTTAGGGAGAAAGAGAGAGGGGGATAGTGAGAGGGATAAATAGAGAGGGGGATAGTGAGAAAGAGAATAAGAAAGTGTTAGGGAGAAAGAGAGAGGGGGATAGTGAGAGGGATAAATAGAGAGGGGGATAGTTAGAAGGAAAAAGAGAGAGGGGGATAGAGAGAAGGAGGAATAGAGAGAGGGGGATAGTGAGAAGGAGAAAAAGAGAAGGTGAAAGAGAGAGAGGGGGATAGTGAGAAGGAGAAAGAGAGTGGGGGATAGCGAGAGGGAGAAAAAGAACGAGAGGAGGATAGGACAGGGAAAAATAGAGATGGGGATAGTGAGAGGGAGAAATAGAGAGAGGGGGATAGTGGGAGGGAGAAGGAGAGTGGGAAATTGTTAGGGTGAAAGAGAGAGAGGGGGATAGTGGGAAGGAGAAGGAGAGTGGGAAATTGTTAGGGTGAAAGAGAGAGAGGGGGATAGTGAGAAGGAGAAATAGACAGAGGGGAATATTGATAGGGTGAAAGGAAGAGAGTGGGATAGTAAGAGGGTGAAGGAGAGAGTGGGTGGGGGTGTGAGAGGAAGAAGGAGAGAGGGAGAAAGAGATAGGTGAGAGAGAGAGGAAGGGGAAGGGAGAGAGAGGTAGAAAGAGGGAGGGAGAGCAGGAAGCACTTAGAGGAAAGAGGCTCTTATTTTGACAGCGGGCAGCCTGAGCGGCTGGAGGATCCTGTGTCTTTCCAGATCCCGTAGCCCAGAGCCCAGGAAGGGGAGAATCCTGCTAGAAGCTGTGAGGGGGAGCCCTGACTGACCCCCCCAGGTCCATGTGCGCGGTGTGAGGAGGCCAGGTACATGCCAGCCGTGCCCGGAGCCCGCAGGAAGGGGCCAGGATGAGAGGGGGCTCCCGGCTGGCCCTGGTTGCGGCTCTCTCCCCCCCTCGGCTCCCGCGCTGCGGGTGTTAAGAGGGGGGATCCAGAAATCCGACACAGGAGGCCGGAGAAAGGAGGAGGACCATGGGAGGCCGAGAATCCTGAAGAAGGTAAGGGAGACCGATAGGGGGGGACCTAGTCTGCTCTGTGTACACAACACCCTGGGCCCCCTCCCCTGGGTGATCACCCCACTGGGACAATACAACTGCTCTGGACCTGCTCTCCTGGCCTGCATGGCTAGCTAGGAGTCACAGGACTAGGAGTCCACAGCATGGCTTGCGAAGGGTCATAGGATTAGTAGTCCACAGCATGGCTTGCTAAGGGTTATAGGATTAATAGTCCACAACATGGCTTGCTAGGAGTTATATGATTAGTAGTCCACAGCATGGCTTGTTAGGAGTTATATGATTAGTAGTCCACAGCATGGCTTGCTAGGAGTTATATGATTAGTAGTCCACAGCATGGCTTGCTAGGGATCATAGGATTAGTAGTCCACAGCACGGTTTGCTAGGAGTCATAGGACTAGTAGTCCACAGCATGGCTTGCTAAGGGTTATAGGATTAGTAGTCCACAACATGGCTTGCTAGGAGTCATATGATTAGTAATCCACAGCATGGCTTGCTAGGGGTCATAGGACTAGTAGTCCACAACATGGCTTGCTAGGAGTCTTATGACTAGTAGTCGGCAGCATGACTTGCTAGGGGTCACAGGACTAGTAGTCCACAGCATGGCTTGCCAGGGCTCATAGGACTAGTAGTCCAGAGCAGCTGGAATTCCAAACGTTAGCCACCCCTGTCTATATGTGTGTTATCTCCCAGGGAGTCATATTGTATCAGTGACATTGTTTACAGGGTGTCTGGTCACTCAGGCGGTCATATTGTATCAGTGACAATGTTTATAGGGTGTTTGTGCATCCCTGCTGTGCCCCTAGCACTGGATCCTGGGGTATTAGTGGCAGTATGATCTTAAGGTGTCATTGAACTTGCTCCCAGGTGTAATGGTGACTGAATCTTAGGGATTCAAGGGTCTCTGTGATGCTAGGTTTCTTAGTGACCTTGTGCACAAGTACATAAATCACAGTGCGCTCACTACACTATCTTGTATAATTAATATATATATTAAACTCCGTCATTGCCAAAGAGGTGGATTATTGGCATTATATGGTTTTATTGACTTCCTTAACTTCTAGTCTTGCTTCCCTAGTATCAGGACAGTTTCTACGCAAGAGGCATAGTGCTTTCTGACTTGTTGCAGTTAATAGCAGTAGTTACGTATCTAAGTGTGTCAGTTGTATAATAATTTCTCCTAATTTTTTCTTTGTTTCTCCACTTTATTATAAAACATATTGTTTAGTAAAAAGCCACATTTTACTTGTGTTGCAATATATAGATTAACTGTGTCATTTACATTTTAAAGGGACACTTTAGGCACCATACCCACTACAAAGCACTGGCGGCTCTCAAAGAGTGAATAATGTCTAAACCTGGCATTAGTTTGTATGATAATGCAGTAGTGCATTAGTAGAACTTCTACTTCATCAATCATACTCAGACCCGAAGATCCTCATTTGTAAGTGGATTAAGAGATTACTGGTTGACTGCTCCCAGGGATTCTGGGCACCATAACCACTACAGCGCATCATTGTGCTTTTGCTGCCTAAAATGGTCCTGTAAGTAGAAACAGACACAATGTAAAAAAAATCTACCAGTTAGCTCTATTTACAGTTCAACTGTTTCGGCCCAAATCCCTGATGCAACAAAGATGGAGTACCCAGGTTGTTTTAGGGGCACTACATTTTAAAAGTTTGACAAAAGAAGACAAAGAACAGAACGAGTCATAGGCGAGTCCACAGTTTAACAGGCAGACTATCCAATGGTATTTCCATAAGGGTACCAGTCACTCAACAGTGCATTAACAACCAACTTGAAAAATGTAAGCCAAATAACTCTGAATTTTTTTTTCAGCTTAACTTTTTGATAGTGCTTTATCAGTTTACCCCAATTTACTATTTTGGAAACAGACCCATGTGTATTAGGTGTGTGCTTGACACTGTAACACATTGATTTGACAAGGACACCGGCTCATAGTTTTGTTCCATTTGCATCATTCACAGAATATATCCCAGTTGCCTTAGCCCTTCTCCTTAGATGTGTCACGTTGCTTACCAGGTGTATCAGTGTCGCCGATGTCATATCACAAGTTAGTCTCAGATGTAACACAATATTCTTGGTGCGTTGGGGCACTATGTCCCAGGTGTATCTGTCAGACTACATGTCTGGGATTTCATGGATAGAATAAATTAACCCTAAGAGTGTAACAAGACTAATTTATCACACGAGACACCTTACCTTGTTGTCATGTGCGTTAGTTGTACTGTGGTTAAACAAGCCACATAATGGGTACATTCATTGAATGATGTGTTAAATTGTGGAGAAATGACAGGGAATGGAACATTTTAGACAAAAATAGGTGGGCAGAAAATTCTGCAGCTCAATTATTTTTCAAGCTTGGCTATTTTCACCTAAATTTTTACACAGTTACATTTTATGAATAAATCAATTTTTGGGGGAAATGAACACTTGTCTTGCACCTGCAACTTGATAGTTCCAACTTGTCTATCTCTATCTATTTTTTTTTTTTTCAGTTAGTTGTCTAAGCAACACAAATCACTGTTTCAGAAACGAACACCTGTGATTGGTTACAACAGCAGTCACTGTGTAAAGGGCCGTCTTTAATAATGTTTGGACCCTGGGCAAGCATTTGCTTGGGCCCCCTGGGCCCTGCCCCCGACTCCTCAAGCCTTACTCCCTGGCACGCAATCAAGCCCTCCACCCCAACGCAGTGACTGATTAAAGCAGAAATAGCCTTGGTGCAAGAATTTGTTTGGGCCCCCCCCAATCGCAAGGGTGGCCAGAAAGTAGATCCCTATCTGTCGTGCAACTCCAATAATGCTTTGACAGCTGGGGCACTACCATTTTCCTATGCTTGTAAGGTTGTATTTAGCACTGAGCCGTACTGGTGTGTTTGAATGTAAGCATGTTTTCGTATGAAGTATGTTTGTGTAAATGTAGGGGTGTGTCTGTATGTGGTGTTTGAATGCAAGCATGCATTTATGTGTAGTGTTGGTTTTTGAATGTAGGGGTGTGTTTAACCCCTTGAGGACACATGACATGTGTGCAGGGGCGTACCTAGAGCATTTGGCACCCGGGGCGGATCCTGTGCTTGGCACCCCCCCACACTTTGCAAAACCGCTGTCAGCCCCTCCTACAAAACCTCTGTCCTGTCCCTTCTACAAATCCTGTACTGCCTCGTCTACAAAACCCCCGCAACCCCCTTCCACAAATCCCCTGCTTATCCCCCCTTATAAAGACTCCTGTCCCAATACAAAACCCCCGCCCCCTTCTACAAAATCCCTGCAGCCCCACACACACATTTACAGGCAGACAGTCACACACTCAGTTACAGCAGACAGTCACATACAGTCACAGGCAGACAGTCACACATACACATTTCCTCCGTGCGGCCAGTTTATCAGCTGTTTGCTTGTGTGAGCTGTACTGGCCGCACGGCACCCTAACTACCATGGGACACTGTGCGGCCACAGCTCACACAGCCCCCTCCAGCCAGGGCCGGTGCAAGGATTTTTGCCGCCCTAGGCAAAAGTAAAGTTTGCCGCCCCCCCCCATGTGACATCACAATGCCCCACCCATATGATTTGCCATGTTAACTAACGCCAGTGCTGCAGTGCCGCCGTGTTTACATTAAAAGGCCTGCAGGGACAGGCTATAGACACCAGAACCACTACATTAAGCTGAAGTGGTTCTGGGGACTATAGTGTTTCTTTAATGTGAGGTAAATTAGAGCTTAGTGCCACGAATAATATACTAGATTGCCTACTTACAACCAGATGAGGATGATGATGATGGGCTCTAGCTGCAGTCTGGCTCCACTGGTCTGGTGCAGAACAGGCTCTCTGGAGGCGGTTTGTAACTGTGGTCACAAAAATCAATGTTCTGGGAGAACGGGAAGCAGCTCCATTTTTTGGGGGTCCTTTACACAGCTCAAGGTCTGGGTCCCAGGGTCCACCTTCATGTTCCACCAATGAGTTTGTTCACAGGGGGTGGAGTGTGTAGGGGATGTCCTGATATGTGTGTAAGGAATGCATTGTGTGAAATTGTGTTTGTATGTGTAAGGGCTGCAAGGTGTGTTTCTGTGTATGTATGGGATGCATTGAATGTGTGTAATGAATGCATTGTGTGTTTCTGTGTGTAAGGGATGCATTGTGTGTAACAGTTGCATTGCTTGTGTGTCTGTGTGTGTGTAATCCATTGTGTGTTTTTCTGTGTGCAAGGGGTGCATTGTGTGTATGTGATGAATGTCAATCTCTCCTCCCGCTCCAATTTCCTTCTCCTCCTCCCAATTTCTCTTTCTCACCCCCCCTCCTAATTTCTCTTTCCTCCCTCCTAATTTCTCTTTCCTCCCTCCTAATTTCTCTTTCCTCCCTCCTAATTTCTCTTC